GTGTGAAAAAACAGTAGACTATTCCCACTAAAATTTTCACGTGCCGGTACATGAAAACTGAATTTGAAACCTTGGGCGGGGAACATCTTCCCAAATTTCAACCTCCTACTTTTCCGACTTTCGCATCAAAACTCTCACGTGGTTGTACGTAAGACCTCGGCCTATTTGGGAGCCAAATTTGGGTTGTGAGATATGCACAGGCAGAAAACATCTTCCTAAAATTCCAGCCTTACAGCTTTTTGGTTCCCGAGACAGTAATTTTCTCCACCAAAACTTTCGCCGTGCCGCACACCAGACCCAAGTGTACATGGAAACTGAATTTAATTCTGCAAGGTCGCATTCTTCCGAAACTTCGGCTATCTTTTATGGCTTCCGAGATAGTAGTTTTTCCCGCCGAGGTATAATTGAGACCCAGGCTTGACTGGAAATTGATTTTAAATTTATGGGGGTTTCTAGGAGAATCCAGGAGAGGGGCAAGGGAGCAAAGGTCTTCCGGCCTCCCAGCGGCACAGGCACCAGTGCTTCAAAAGCCCAGACCTGTTCATAAATAAAACTGAACTAACTATAAATAGCAGTGTTACAACTCCTAGTTCTTGCGGGTGGGTGGGGCTTCCCCTTATCCCACCTCCTGTCGTCCCCTGTCAGGGGCCCACTCCCTCTCCATCCCTCGCCCCCCTTCCCCACCTGGAATCCCGCTCATCCCCACCCTCCCCAGGAATCCGACCTAAATCCGCTTATGGCGTAGCTGCACGTGGGAAAGAAACATTCTTGTTCAATTTTAGCTTCCTGATTTTCACAGTCCCCGAGATAATTTTTCCGCCAAAACTTTCACGAGGCTGTACGCGTCACCCAAGCGCCCGGGAGAACTGGATTTAAATTTTCTGGGTCGCACGGGAAAACCCGTAAAACTTCAGCTCCCTAGTTCCATGGTTCTCGAGATAATTTTTCCCGCCAAAAATTTCACGGGGTGCGCGTGTTTTTTTTCTTTTTTTTTAAGTTCCCTGGGTCGCACACTGGGCAGAGGAAATGCCCACAAAATTTCAGTTTCACGGCTTTCGTGGCTCCCGAGATAATTCTCCCTGCCAAAATTTCACGGGTAATACGTGTTATCCGGGGGCAAGGTGAAGTTGTATTTAAATTTTCTGGGTCACACGTGGGCAGGAGGCATGTGCAGAAAATTTCAGCGCTCTAGCTTTTGTGGCTCCCGAGATAATGATTTTACGCGCCCAAACTTTTGTGGGGCCGTAAGTGTTACCCGCGAGTACTGGAAGACTGAATTTAAATTTGCGGGGAAACACATGGGTGGGGAACATTCCTCTGCTCCCTAGATTTTGCGGTTCCCGAGTTGAAAGTTGCGGACGCACACACACACAGACAACTCTGTGACAATATGCGTTTTGTGCTGCTGTTACACAGCGCAAAACGCATAAAAAGTACCTGTGTCAGCTCCAATTCCCTCGCTTTCCTCTGTTCACTTATCCGCCCAATAAGCACATCAACATTATGCTCATCATCAAACACTGCGTCAAAAATCGCTTCGAAGTTGGTAATGGCGCAATTTACATCTCCTTCTTCCCAATTCTTCGACGAAATACCCTCCCTTGCTTCTTTCAAAAAGCTTTTTAACACATGCGCAAACTTCTGCTCCACCACACGAGAGCGTTGGGCCGATTGAACTGCTTCTAACACATGTTTAATTTCATTCTCCAGCCGAGAAAACCCTTCAGCAATGTGTCGATTCTGTTCTGAACGGTCATCTGGCGACCTGTCACAAACTTGCTGATTTCTCGCTTCATGCATCCACCAGTTTATGATTTCTGCTGCCTGCTTATCTCTCTCCGATAAGATAGAAAGCTGCATTCTCAAATCGGCAATCTAAAACTACATTTTTTAATGCAGCGAATCCAATCTACATCTCCAGTGCTACTCAAAATGGAAAGAGAATTACCTGCTGCGTTAACAATTCAACATTTTTGACTTCCTTTTCCAGTCTCTTTTCACCCCGTTCGACTTCTTCCTCAGCAGTACGTAACTAAACAACGGAAAAATTGCATTTCTATTAATCTACAAGTTAAATGAACATCCCATTAAAAAAACACGCTCGCCTGAAAGGCCCAGTTCGAAATCCGGAAACGGGTAAGAACCTAGGAATTTTAAGAGCACAGAGAAAACACACCTCTTCTGCGAACCGCTCATTCTGATTTTTCAGCTCCTTTATTTCGTGCTCATACATGAGCTGTGACTGTCGAGCTTTTTCCTAAACAACTTTGTTTAAAAATTCTCCATTCATTTATGAATTTCTTAAGATTTAAGAATTTTTTCCAATTCGAACATATAAACAAAACGTTCATATCTTCGAATTAACCTCTTCGGTGGAAAAAACAACCTCTTCGGCGGAGAGACGATTAACGGCGGCATCATGTTCCATACTGAGCCTTGAAAATTCAATTTCTTTGTTGCGATACAGACTTTCTAGTTCACTCACAAAAAGACTGTCGCCTGCATTTGGAAGATTCCCCGAGTTCGCCAGTGCAGTAAATTTCTCCGCAAAAAGCTCCAGTTCAACACGCATTCTGTAGCAGTTTTCGCAAAAAGTTTCTGAAACGCAGTACGCTTCGTTGATGAGAAACGAGTAGTCATCGACTCGTTCCTTCGCGTATTTCGCCATATCTGCAGCGCTGACGAAGCCTTCCCAATGTGCGTTGGGTACTTGAGACTGCAAACGCATATCAATTGCCTTTTTCTTCTGCTCCGACAGCGTAATTTCCCGATTACTGATGCATCCCCGCTCTGGTGTTGCAAACGATTGTCTAGTTTCATCACTGCCCGAAGACGCAATCAAATGCACGGGCTGCTCATAACTTCCAGGCTGCGAATGGTAACTACCGAGAGTATCAACACCGCTGCTTGCTACCGCCACCATAGGAGATTTTTCGGCAGTCTGCCCTCCGCTGGCATCTCTAA